CCAGTGCTTCCAGTAGGCAAACTAGACAGCCACCTAGGGCACACTGCCTTCCAGGGGCGCCTGGGTGCAGCAAAGTCCAGCACTCTCTCTATATGGAATGATCCTTCAGCTGAGGGGAGGGGCAGCAGAGGGGAGGAAGAAAGGAAAGAGGAAGATGCCAATGTCTGGGGCCAGTGTAGCAGCTCCTTCCAGTGTTCCTCTCAGATTCAGTCCCTTACTGCAAGCCGGCTAGCGACTGCTGATCACTGTGAAGTTCCAGCTCTTCTCTTCCCATTATTCAGTGGAGAGAAAGGTAATGTCTGACTCTGATGTCTCATGTCTGTGTGAGTGTGACCCAGAAGGATTGCCATCCATCACATGTGCAGTGTGTCAGTAAGTGATGACATCATCACAATCCCACAGCCTGCTCTTCTAGTTTCTGCTGATCTATGTCAGTGTTAGTGGTGGTATGTTGTGTGGGATCGTTCAGTTCAGGTGTCCTCTCTTTGTGTGTGGGCTGGGCTGCCTGCTGTTTCCACCCATTACCTGAGAAATTCCAGCCTGGGATTTGTCAGAGGTGTGGATCCATCATCCTCCACTCTCTGCAACTGTCACCCAGCCACTGCCAGCCACAGATACCATCTGTCCGTGACACTGATTTTGTCTTTAATATTGGTGCTGGTGACATCTTATAGCACTTATTTTTGCTAATTAAAACACATTTACCAGTTTCAAGTTTTTTTGATTTAATATTTTCTACTGTTTTTTTTTTTTTTTTTTTTTGGGTGGGGGGCGTGCAAATAGCTGGTCTTGCCTAAGGCACAAAATAGTCAGCACCGGCCCTGACTGATTAAAATATACAGTGCCACTGAATTCTGGGTACCTGAAGATGACAGCTAAAACTGTGAGTAGACACAAGTAGGTGACTGCATTGAAGTGCGGCAGCTTGTTTAGTACCTTGAGGAACATTTGCATGATAGATCAAACATATATGTTACATAACAAATATGAAAGAGCTAACTTGGACTCCCCAATACCTAAATCCCCATAACTGCATATCAAAAACCCATAACCCCAACTATACTTTAATAATACAAAGTAAAAAAAATCTACACATATTAAGGTGAATTTACTAAGACTGGAGAAAATAGAATCTGGAGCAGTTGTGCATGGCAACCAATCAGCTTCTAGTTTTTATTTTAAAAGCTTACCTGAACAAGCTAAAGATAGAAGCTGATTGGTTAGTACTGTGTTTTCCCAAAAATAAGACACTGTCTTATATTTTTTTTGGCTAAAAAAAACACGCTTATTTTCAGGGTAGGTCTTATTTTTTTACTGTACAGGTGTGGACGGGGTGCAGAGGTGAGCTGCAGGCAGTTGTGGATGAGGGTTACTATAGAGAGGGCCGGCTGATGACAGTTGTGAGCTGCAGTCAGGTGTTGCAGAGGTGAATTGACAGGTGGGTTTCAGACAGAATGCAGAGATGAGCCACAGACAGGGTGCAGGGGTGAGTTGTGGACAGGGGATGCAGAGGTGAGCTGTGGCTGGGGGGTACAGAGGCAAGCTGTGACCAGGGGGTGCAGAGTTCAGCTGTGGCCGGGGGGTGCAGAGGTGGGTTGCAACACAGCTCACCTCTGCACCCCCCAGCAGCAGCTCACCTATGCACCCTGTCTGCAACTCACCTGTCAACTTACCTCTGCAACACTTTGCTGGGATAGGTCTTATTTTTGGGGAAACAAGGCATGAACAGCTTCTCCAGATTCTGTCTGCTCCAGTTTTATTAAATCACCCCCCCCCCTTTGTATGTGTACAACCAGATACAACTTACATGTAATTTAAAGAGATAGCATAAGCAGAGATTTGTAAAAAGCAAAATATAATGTAAAGTCATTACATCTACTGTGACTGCAAAGAATTTTCTGTGCTGTGGAAGCATCACATAACAGGGAGAGTGAAGACTTGCTGGGGCCATAGGAGATATAAATGTATGGAGAACACTTGTAACACTGTTGGGTTATTATTACAGAGAAAATCTAATCATTGGGAAGCTGCAAAATATTTTTTTTGCTTTGGAGTTTAATACAGTTTTAAAAATGGTGGCTGCTTTGGCTTTCCTCTTTTAGGCTCTTTTTCTCTTTATTTTCACATGGTGATCTAGTCATTAACACACTTCTTATCTTAGCATGTCTCCACTCTGGATTTAGGCACAACTGAGACACCTGTGGATAGACAATTGGCAATCTGAGGGGAGGCGAGTGTTAAATATACTAGCAGATTTAGAGGAATTTAACTAACAAATTAAAGCCAAACTCCTGGTAACAATGTATGAGCAGTGACAGCAACAGTTTTTTTTTTTTTTTTTTTTTAAATGAAGGCTCTACATAAGTGTTCCTGTACACTAGCTGCAAGGACTGCTGCTACTCAGAAAAGTGATCCACGCTTGGATCATTTTTCAAAGCAGTGAGGAGGCGATATGTCTTATTAGTTTTATACAGTTGTACAAATATAACAAGTTCATCTGAGTTGTGTCTGTGTACACTGTGTGCTGTGTGCATCAATAGAAACACACAGCCTCTAGCCTAGGATTGCACAGCGTTCCCCTGCCCCTTCCTGCTCCTCCACCATTCCTTTCTCCAAATCAACAGGCTGACTCTAGACTGCACTGTCCTCTGTTCTATATTGTAATGACCAGAAGTTCAGGAAAGCAGCACCAAGAGAGCAGGAGCAAGGAGAACTGAAAATTGTGAACTGCGAGCTCTGGGGTTAGAATTTCAACAAATAGTTTGCTCAATGTGTTAAACTAAAAAATGCAGAGTGTTTAACTTTACCTTGAAGTCTGGATTAAAAATGTAAATTCTATTTAAGTGTGTATTCCTAACTCAAAAAAACTCCTATTGTTCTCAGCCTCCTCCAGATCTCCAGATTTTCTCTATTTTGCTGCTGTGATCTGACTTCTAATTAGAGGGTGGCTACCTTAAAGTGTTACTAAACCCAGGACCCTGCATTCACTATATCTGCTCTCCCACAGTACACAGAACATGAAAATGCAATTAATTTAGTAAATATAAACTGTTAAATACCTTCTCTCATCAGCAGTTAGAACAGTCCTGTGACTTCTATCAGTGTCCAGCCAAGCACTGGTTAATCTTTTTAATTTTCCTCTGACTGTCCTATGCGGCTGCATGACCCCTGACCCTTTGTCTGGACAGTGCTGATCACATGCATAAGAAAAAAAAACTCTCTAGTAATACACACCAAACTGAGCATGTGCAGAGTGCCTCCTAGGGCTCTTTACTATCAGCAGATGGATTGGGGGCTATGGAAGAAGGGGAGGATCAGAGAAGACAGGATCAAAGAGTTTTTTTACACAATGCTGAGGATTAACCCCTTAGGTTCCACACTGAGTAGAACAAGCATGCTTTACTGCATATACAGACTAATTTTACTGATGTGGGTTTAGTAACATTTTAAGTCTCCATGTTCCCACTGTATGTAGGTATGCTTTCATCATCTTTTGCTTGCTCCTGAAATGGATTAGGGACTATTGCACTATGGAACTGTAGTGTACTTAGAGCAGTGCACATGACTGCTACTAGTGTGCACTGCTTGTTCCAAACAAACAGAAGTGAGAGGGAAAAGGAGAGGTGCAGAAGTTACAAGGAGGCATAAAACACAATAAGAAATAACTTAATGAACAAAAGATTACAGGACTATTAAGTAGCGGATGTGTATAGACCAGTAATGGTGAACCTTTTTAGAGACCAAGTGCCCAAGCTGCAACAGCCAAAACCCACTTATTTATCACAAAGTGCCAACACTGCAATTAAACCTGAATACTGAGGTTTTAGTTTCGAAAAAACAACCCATACATTAACATTGTTTGTCTTTAAAGAAAAACACAACAATAGAGCTTCCACTGACCACCAAGCACAAGGGGGCAAAGTTCCGCTGACCACCAGCACAAGGGGGCAAAGTTCCGCTGACCACCAGCACAAGGGGGCAAAGTTCCGCTGACCACCAGCACAAGGGGGCAAAGTTCTGCTGACCACCAGCACAAGGGGGCAAAGTTCCGCTGACCACCAGCACAAGGGGGCAAAGTTCAGCTGACCACCAGCACAAGGGGGCAAAGTTCCGCTGACCACCAGCACAAGGGGGCAAAGTTCTGCTGACCATCAGCACAAGGGGGCAAAGTTCAGCTGACCACCAGCACAAGGGAGCAAAGTTCCGCTGACCACCAGCACAAGGGGCAAAGTCCCGCCGACCACCAGCACATGGGGGCAAAGTTCCACCGACCACCAGCACAAGGGGGCAAAGTTCCACCGACTACCAGCACAACGGGGCAAAGTTCCACCGACCACCAGCACAAGGGGCAAAGTCCCGCCGACCACCAGCACAAGGGGGCAAAGTTCCACCGACCACCAGCACAAGGGGGCAAAGTTCCACCGACTACCAGCACAAGCTAAAATCTTGTATTAATAAAAATGAATGTATTAAAACTTACAGCCAGTCCAATATATATATATCCTTGGCAGTGGAGTGACTGACCAAGCAAAAGTTCGGATGAGTCGTGGCTCATGACGTCATCGCCTGGCGCCGCTACTCCAATCTGCCCCTATGTGTGCTTTTATCCAATGCTCGGCGGCTGGGGTGATGCTGGGGTGACTTGGCTTGCGTGCCGACCAAGAGGGCTCTGCGTGCCTGCTGCGCAACATGTGCCATAGGTTCACCACCACTTGTATAGACTATTTATGAAGAAAAAAATGATATAACTTAGTGTCACTGTAAGAAAAAATGTTTCATTGGTAACTGTGATGTACCATCCAACTTTAGACGATCCCTGAAAACCTCTTTCTTTAACCACAAGCCTACAGGGGACTTATACCCCCTTCCTGCCCAGGCCAATTTCCAGCTTTCAGCGCTGTCGCACTTTGAGTGACAATTGCGCGGTCATGCAGCACTGTACCTATATGAAATTTTTATCATTTTTTTGTGACAGATAGAGCTTTATTTTAGTGGTATTTAATCACTTCTGGGATTTTTATTTTTTCTTAAACCAAAAACCACTGAAAATTTTGAAAACAAAAATGTTTTTTCTTAGTTTTTGTTATAAAACTTTGTAAATAAGTGATTTTTTCCTTCACTGATGTGCGCTAATGAGGCTGCAGTGATGGGCACTGATAGGCTGCACTGATTGACACTGATAGGTGGCACTGATGGGCACTGATGAGGAGGCACTGATGAGCATTGACAGGCATCACTGATGGGCACTGAAAGGCAGCACTGATACATGGCACTGATAGGCGGTACTGACTGGCACTGTTAGGCGGCACTGACTGGCACTGATAGGCGGCACTGACTAGTACTGATAGGCGGCACTGACTAGGTGACACTGATTGGCATTGATAGGTGGCACTGACTGGCACTGATGGGTGACACTGAAAGGCAGCTTAGATGGGCACTGATATGTGGCATTGATGTGGCATGATGGGCACTGACACAAGGCACTGATGGACACTGACAGGATGGCACTGCTGGGGCTACACTGATCATCAGGGCACACTGATCATCAGTGCACACTGATGATCAGTGTACATGTCCCCTCCGCTGAAAGCCGATTACCAGCTCTCCTCTTCTCTCAAGCTGTCAGCGTGACAGCTCGAGAGGAGAGAAATGCCGATGACCGACATTTCCCTGTTTACATGTGATCAGCTGTGATTGGACACTGCTGATCACATGACCGAGCCGACATCTTTGGCTCTTTCCGTGATCGGTGATCCGCTGTGTCCCTCCGATCGCCACGCTGTGCGCTTCCTGAGTTGCGCATGCGTGGTGAGAATGGGAGGACGTCAGAACGAGAGAACCACCTTGCGTACGTCATATTACTATATGGCAGGCGGGAGGTGGTTAAAGAAGTCTATCCTGCTTCTACCTAGTAAACCACCATTTGTTTCCTCCATCAGCCCATCCCCCCACAGCTACTACCTTTTGTATTACTCAAACCTTCCTCCTAGATTGTAAGCTCTAACGAGCCGGGCCCTCTGTTTCCTCTTGTACCAAATTGTATTGTAACTGTAATGTTTACCTTCATTTTGTAAAGCGCTGTGCAAACTGTTGGTGCTATATAAATCCTGTATAATAATAATAACTAGAAAAGCTACAATTTCTGGGGAAATTGTGTGAAGTGTTCTTGCCTCCACCAGTAGTCTACAACTGGAGTGGGCGGAGTAACTGGGTGGAGTGGCTTGTCACTCTGCTGCCTGCTCACACACCTGGGTTCTTATGGCAACTCACTCTACAGCAAGGGCAGAGAAGAGCGGTTAAAAACAAACTGCTCCGACTTGCTCACTTCACTGGCGGTTGCCATCTTCAAACGGTTGTAGTTTAAAAATTATAAATCCTACACCAAAGAGCTTTATATTGTGAGAATCACAAGACCCAGACCTACATTTTGATGCATAGTATGTCTCTAAAATATTAAAAATGAAGGCACAGTCGCAGTTTAGAAATTGCCCTTCAAATTTGAGGTGGCTAGAGTGGAGTTTAAATGAATGTCAATGGGCGGCGTGAGTTGCAAACAAATGGTCATATTGTGAAAAACTATCAGGACTATGGCCGTGGACATTTTTAGTGGCAGCAGGGATAGCTGAACGTTTTGATATATGATTTGTGTAGGTGGGCTTGAAAAATGAGGGAGTGATGGCAGTTTAGAAATCATGTCCTGATTTTTCAGCTCACACTCTAGCTTTTGTCAGCTCCCACTCTAGTTTTGAACATTCCGCCATTCGTTTCTATGGGACCAATTTCACCACAAAAACGCCGATATTTTGTGAACCATTCGGCAAAACATTCCACAAAGTAATAGCACACCAATCGGGAACAATCCGCACATTTCGGTATATTACTGTCTATGTAGTGTAAAAACTGTGGGAGGAGTTAGGGTGGTAAATTTGGCTATAATAATAAGAATATATATGTGAGATAACAGTAAGTGGTCTTGCCATGCAAGAATACTTAATTACTACATCTGTCATGTTATCACTTCTACTGAATAAGCCAAGTAGTATAAAAGGTGTATGCACTTGTATATACATGTAATAACATAAGGAATGACTATATAAATGCCTGCCTCCAGGGATATAACCCCTGTTCCATTCTTTTCCCTCTCAGCATTTACTGATGTGAGCCAGTCATTCGCCTGCCCTCTGTTTTGGACTGAACACAACGGGAACTGCTACAGGTTTTTCCCAATGAATAAAACATGGGCAGAAGCAGACTTTTACTGTGCGGAGTTTTCGCTCGGCAGGACAACTGCCAAATTAGTTTCTATCCACAGGTATGGTATAGTGACTTCTTCACAGGAGCCAAAACATGAGCCATTTTTTATTGCCTTCTCATAACAAATTGTTTTCATGCCTGCTTTCTGGAGATCAAGTATGTGTGAGACACTGCCTTCTCTATTTTTACTATATTATTTGCACACATCCTACATACTTCTATTAATTGTAACATTGCTTATACTATATACAGATGAGCCATCATTTAAAAAAAATCCATCTGATTTGATCCCCATGGTGTGGTTCTTGTTGTGGATATTTTTTGTGCATTTTCAGTCTGGACTTAAAGTGGTTGTAAACCTCAGACATGAAATATGAACAAAGCATATCCCTATATAGGCATACCTCGGTTTATGAATTTCATTTGTTCTGTGGGACTTTTATTATTTTGAAAAATTTGTAAACTGAAACGCGTTTCCGCGGTTTCCCATAGGAAGGTATTGAAAACCAATTAATCCATTCCAGAGGTATAAAAAAAGTCTTTTATCTGTTCAAAACTCTTTATAAAGTGCACATTAAAGGCATAAATACTGTACAGGGACACGATTAAAAATTAATTTGTAAATGCATTGAAAACCAATTAATCCGTTCCAGAGGTCAGAAAAAAGTAAATCTGTTCAAAACTCTTTATAAAGTGCACTTTAAAGGCATAAAGGGACATGAATAAAAAAAAAATTTGTAAATGTATGAAAACCAATTAATCCATTTTGGAGGTCAGAAAAAAAGTCAACAAAGTTTTATCTGTTCAAAACTCTGTATAAAATGCACTTTACAGGCATAGTACTGTACAGGGACATGATTAAAAAAAAATTTGCAAATGCATTGAAAACCAATTAATCCGTTCGTATTGCGAAAAAAATTTGTTAACCAAGCCATTATTTTCAATGGATTTTCATTCGTAAACTGAAAATTACGTTAAACGAGGTGTTTGTAAACTGAGGTACGCCTGTATAGTGTGTTCTTGTCTCAATCCAGAACACTACGTGTGATTTCTCTCTGCTGATTTATTCCTCTGCTATCTGCATGAGTCACTTCTGACAAATTTCCCTGACAGCAAGAGAAAAAAGGTGACAGGAGAGGGAGCTCCAGCACATAGCCTGTGATTGGCAGCATCAACTCTGTTTCTATGTGTTGTATGAAGGGGGTGTCTCTTCCCTCCAGTCAGCTTCCACTGAGCTCTGAAATCTCAGAAAAACTGTATAAATCATGGATGTTGAAGGACAGGTGACCACATAACAAAGTTCTGAATACAGTGAGAAAATTGCTGTCTGTGTCCCAATAAGTTACCTAGACAGCAATAACCTCATTCTTTTAGAATTCTTTTCCTTTTTTTGGAACTACTTATACGGGAAGAAAGGTTGCCACCTCATCCCTTTAAAACTAAACACATATTAATTACACAGGTTCTGTGACTGACTCAGGTGATAATTAAACTTACTTAGTGCCTTATCTGCTTTAAATCAGTCTCAGAACATGTGTAACTAATAATGTGCATACATTGCAGATTAATAATTACGCTATAAAAATTAGTTTGTGCTGTAAATTGCCTCCAGTATTGTTCCTGTTTTTTCTTGATGGAGGATGCCATTTTGCTGAAGCCCAGAGCAGCAGTAAATCTTTAGGCTGTCAGCATATTGGTCTCCACATTTTCAGGACAGTACAACCACTGTAGTAGTGGGTCCTGTGCAAGCAAGATCACTTCTTCACACTGATCACAGGGAGTCACTAGCTCAGCACTGCCAGTATTCATAGAATGCCCTGTATTTTTTTCAGTGAAGTGTTCTCTGATTGGATGAGGTGGAGGTTGGATGAAGTTAATTTGCCCGCTCCGCTCCTCCCAAGGCATCTTGCTCTCTAGCTCCCTTGTCACCTCCTTCCTCCCAAGGCATCTTGCTCTCTAGCTCCCTTGTCACCTCCTTCCACGCTCGACTCCAGGACTTCTCCAGACCATCTCCCATCCTCTGGAACTCCCTACCCCAGTATGTCCAGTCAGCCCCCACCCTATCTGCCTTTAGGCAAAATTTGAAAATTCACTTACTCCACCTAAGAATTGTACTTGAGCCACCTGCATCAGATCATCTCTTGCAGCTATCACCTTTTGTACCACTTTCCCCTTCCTTTAGATTGTAAGCTCCACAAACAGGACCCTCCTATTCCTTCTGTACTGAAATGTACTGTAATTGTACTGTCTCCCTTTATATTGTAAAGTGCTGCACAAAATGTTGGCGCTATATAAATCCTGTATAATAATAATAATTATTATTTCTACAATTAAAATAGATCTAAAGTTTACATGTCTTTGCCCTAGTGCATTCTCTTGCACTGTTGCCCCCCCTTCCCTTACACTTACCCGAGTCCTTTTTTGATTTAGCGCAGTGCCCAGCTGCACCTCTCTTCCTGGTCTCAGAGGCTTTGATGATAGAAGCAGAAGCCATTGGCTGCTGTCAATAAAACCCTTTGAGAGGGGAGCCAGGATCGGGGCTGAGCCGTGCCTTGTATGTCTATGGACCACACAGAGTGCAGCTGGGGATCGAGCCCGCACAGGTGCCCCCATAGGAAGTGGCTGCAGAAAGCGGTGGACACATAAAAGGAGGACGGGACAGCATCATTGGGGGACCTTAGAAGAAGAGGTTTGGGTGTATAGTTACCTGCTCTACACAGAGCAAGTAACTATATACCTGTTTAGTATTTTAATCAAAATACAGAAAAAGACTTTAAAATCTCTCTAAAGCATGACTTGAAGATAATGGCACAAATTTATATTTGACTAATATTAATATTATCCCTAATAGCTAAATACCAATATTTACAGATGTACTAGCTTCACGAGTGGTATGCAGCCTAACGTACTACTCTCTTCTTTTTTTTTTTTCTCCTCAGTTGGGATGAAAATATTTTTGTATTCGATCTTGTAAACAGCCAAGTCCCTGGAATACCTACAGATATCTGGATAGGATTAAGTGACAGAAGACAGGTGAGAACTGGATTCCATGTAGAAATAAAAATATATGCAAATAATATATATTATAATTACTTGCGAGCCACTGAGGTATGAGATAGTAATTAAATATATAGGTCAGCAGGCATCTATTCACATCCTCATATAAATGTGTTTTTGTAGTAATATACAGGAAATTGATTGCTTATTGCCGCGCCCTAAATGTGAGATATGAATACTTCCAGAAATAATGAACAATCCAAGTCAACTTATTACAACTTCAAAATAAATCAATAATAGAATGTGAAAAAAAAAACAAAAAACGTGAAAAATATATCATAGTATAAGTAATTTAAATGATAAAAAATGAATAGTGTCTAAAAAAAGTCTATATAAATTTGATTAAAGTTGATTAGTCAAACAAGATTGCAGATGGATTCTTGCTGGAATATACAGTCAGATCCGTAATATTGGGACATCGACACAATTCTAACATTTTTGGCTCTATACACCACCACAATGGATTTGAAATGAAACAAGCAAGATGTGCTTTAACTGCAGACTGTCAGCTTTAATTTGAGGGTATTTACATCCAAATCAGGTGAACGGTGTAGGAATTACAACAGTTTGCATATGTGCCTCCCACTTGTTAAGGGACCAAAAGTAATGGGACAATTGGCTTCTCAGCTGTTCCATGGCCAGGTGTGTGTTATTCCCTCATTATCCCAATTACAATGAGCAGATAAAAGGTCCAGAGTTCATTTCAAGTGTGCTATTTGCATTTGGAATCTGTTGTTGTCAACTCTCAAGATGAGATCCAAAGAGCTGTCACTATCAGTGAAGCAAGCCATCATTAGGCTGAAAAAACAAAACAAACCCATCAGAGAGATAGCAAAACCATTAGGCGTGGCCAAAACAACCGTTTGGAACATTCTTAAAAAGAAGGAATGCACCGGTGAGCTCAGCAACACCAAAAGACCCGGAAGACCACGGAAAACAACTGTCGTGGATGACCGACAGTTGGCCAGATCAAGAACACTCTCCAGGAGGTAGGTGTATGTGTGTCAAAGTCAACAATCAAGAGAAGACTTCACCAGAGTGAATACAGAGGGTTCACCACAAGGTGTAAACCATTGGTGAGCCTCAAAAACAGGAAGGCCAGATTAGACTTTGCCAAACAACATCTAAAAAAGCCTTCACAGTTCTGGAACAACATCCTATGGACAGATGAGACCAAGATCAACTTGTAGCAGAGTGATGGGAAGAGAAGAAAGAAAGGAACTGCTCATGATCCTAAGTGTCAGGGATCCCCTCGATCCCCGCCGCGTTGGTCCCGGTGCAGGCGCAGTATGCCGCCCGGCGCAGGGACTCGAGCACTGGTTCCGGGCCGGCCGCGGCGTTCGAGTTCGCGCATGCGCAGTAGAAGCCGCGGCCGCCCGCTGGGCACCAATGGCAGCGCAGGGCGGGATATTTAAACGACCCTAGGCTGTCATTCAGTGCCTTCTGGTCTTTCCTGCATCCTGAATCCTGTGAACCTGTACCCTGTAAGTTATTGACCCGGATTGTACCTGACCTTGCTGTTTCTCCTATTCTGACCCTTGCTTTGCCTGACCTCTCTTCTGAATGCCCCCTATTGGATTTGACCTGCTGTTGCTGTCCTGGCGTGTGACCCGACCATTCTATGCCCACTGCCTTGTACCTTGCCGCCCTCTCTGTTACCGACCCGGCCCGTCTGACCTTGCTCATCCATCCATCCCGTGCAGCGGGGTCTTCTGACCTCCTCACATCAGACTCTTCCCCGTGGGAGCCCCTCGCGCATACTGCTACCACTGACGGGCGCACCCAGTAGCCACGACCTGGTCTCAGGGAGCTCCAAGTCCATCCCCACCATCAGGGGCTCTGGTGAACAAGCACCCTGGGACTTAGACTCCGTGCGCTGGGGACGCCTATTCAGTGGAGTGCTAGTAGTACCGCCGGGTGGTCCCTTACACTAAGCATACCAGCTCATCAGTGAAGCATGGTGGTGGTAGTGTCATGGCGTCGGTATGCATGGCTGCCAATGGAACTGGTTCTCTTGTATTTATTGATGATGTGACTGCTGACAAAAGCAGCAGGATGAATTCTGAAGTGTTTCGGGCAATATTATCTGCTCATATTCAGCCAAATGTTTCAAAACTCATTGGACGCCGCTTCACAGTGCAGATGGACAATGACCCAAAGCATAATGCAAAAGCAACCAAAGAGTTTTTTAAGGGAAAGAAGTGGAATGTTATGCAATGGCCAAGTCAATCACCTGACCTGAATCCGATTGAGCATGCATTTTACTTGCTGAAGACAAAACTGAAGGGAAAATGCCCGAAGAACAAGCAGGAACTGAAGACAGTTGCAGTAGAGGCCTGGCAGAGCATCACAGGGAAGAAACCCAGCGTCTGGTAATGTCTATGTGTTCCAGACTTCAGGCTGTAATTGACTGCAAAGGATTTGCAACCAAGTATTAAGTGAAAGTTTGATTTATGATTATTATTCTGTCCCATTACTTTTGGTCCCTTAACAAGTGGGAGGTACATATGCAAACTGTTGTAATTCCTACACCGTTCACCTGATTTGGATGTAAATACCCTCAAATTAAAGCTGACAGTCTGCAGTTAAAGCACATCTTGTTTGTTTCATTTCAAATCTATTGTGGTGGTGTATAGAGCCAAAAATGTTAGAATTGTGTCGATGTCCCAGTATTTATGGACCTGACTGTAGATACTTATATGCACTCACCTTCCATTAGGCCCACTGCTGGGCTAACACAGCTTTATGGTGTTTATCCTTGATGGATATCTTTAGAGACTCCCTTGGATACTCCTGATAATTGATAATGGATGATTGTGGGTCTCTGGGTTAGCTTTTTTCTCATGGCAATAAAAAGTGCTCCATCTCCTTGTATTATTCCTTGTTAGTATAGTGGAAAAAAAAGGTACATGGTGCCTTATCATTTTTTAAAAGAACAATTTTATTCACAACTTCTTCTTATGCACTCACAAGTATTCAGTATAAAAAGCGCTGAGTTAAAATCAGTAAAACCGCTAAATGCGTTTGTGACAGGTCTCCTGCGTGGCTGCTCACATAGACTATAATCGCCGTAAAGTCGGGTTGCTGTGGTGATGTCAAAGCCCCTCCCCAACGCGTTGCGCCACAGGGACACGTGGCTTCGTCTGGGGGTTATCGAATTATTATTATGACTTGGATTGTTCATTATTTCTGGAAGTATTCATATCTCACCTTTAGTGCGCGGCAATAAGCAAAAATATATGCAACATTTCCTGTAAAGCAGCACACCATAAGGCTAGGTCCACACCTATGCGGGTTGTGTTTGTGCCATTTGTGCATTGTGTTTTTCAATTTTGCACTTACATTTTTGATGCATTTTGTATTTTTCTTGTTGCTAGGCAGATTTAAAATGCATAATGCAGCACAAAATGCAATACAGGCTTTTCTGCAGCGTTTAGATTGAACTCTATAGAACCAAAAACACAATTTTTTGTGTTTAAAAAAGTCCCTGTCTCTTATCAAAAAACACATCGGGTGAAAATGCACAGGTGTGAACATGTCCCATGGGAAATTATGTTAAATGGACTGTGCTGCGTTTCTGCAAAACGCTGCAGAAAATGCTTAGGTGTGAACCTAGGGTCAGGCTTGCTTATACTGCTAGTGGTTTGCTTTAAAAAAGGCCTGGAGTCTTTCCTAGATACACTGAATATAACTGGATACTAACATTTATAGGTAAAGTTGATCCAGGGAATATCCGATTGCCTCTCGGGGAATCAGGAAGGAATTTTTTTCCCCTGCAGGAGCAAATTTGAGCATGCATTGCTGTTTTTTTGCCTTCCTCTGGATCAACTGTGGGTGTGGGATTATAAAACCAAATATAACCAAAATCTGCGCTTAGAAATACAAACAAACAAATAAATAAATATATATATAGCAGCTGGGCACTGTACCCTGATACCGGGCACCTCATATACAGTATACAATAAAGGGCAGCGCTCAAATATAACAAACAAATTGGATTAATCAAGGTGGTAATATTGTGTCAAAATTAATAAAACTTAATCACAAACTGTCCATAGAAGATATAATCATATGGTGGGATTAGAATAGAGCAGTCCAAAAAGCTGTGGTGAGATCAGAAGACTTCCAAAGGCAGCCAATGTGACACCATCCACTCACATGCAAGGCTTACCAGAAGGCATGTGACCCCTACTAGGAGTCAGAGGCGTAGCTGGGGGGGGGGCAGGGGGGTACATATGTACCCGGGGCCAAGGTACAGGGGTGCCAAAATGAGGTCACAAGATCACTGCAGCGGCTGCAGCAGACGTGTCATCTGATACCTCTGCCATCCACAGTGAGTTATGAGAGGAGAGAGGAGCCGGCCGGGTGAGGAGCAGAGAGGAGGGCAGTGAGCCGGGCATGTGCCGGAGGGGACGAGAGGAGAGCCGAGCCAGGTGAGTAGTGCCATGGATGAAGGGGAGGTGGCCGTTTGTCCCCGGGCGCAAAATATCCTAGCTACGCCTCTGCTAGGAGTGGTCAGTCTGCTCTTTGTGCGATATCATTGGTAACATCAAGGGAAATATACAATACGCCCAAAGAAATGACAAATGATCCCCCAATCAGCCAGGTAAATTGGACCAAGAACTCGTAGCACAACACATGCAATAAAAGATGTATCCACATAGTGTAAAACCATTAAAGATATAAAGTTTATCAAATAAAGATTGCATTCACATGGTGAAAGGCACAATTCAGGCGGCCAGTTGCACATGCGCATTTTTTTTTGGTTGTTCTGGATGGGCTTTTGTCTTTTTTCACCCTATGTAACTATGTAGGGCATGGTAGTGTGTTACTGTGCATTGCGGTGCGATGCAACACAGGCATGCTCTCTTTTGGCATTGGGTTGCAGTCAATTCATTGGGTTACCACTGAAATTAACTGCTCCATATTACACTAACACATGCGGTGTGTTGCTGTACATTGTGGTAATGTGCATGTTAGCACAACGTATACATGTAATGAATATTTACCTCTTTGATTTCTCTCATTTGTTAGCAGTATATCCCACCAGGTTCAGGAAATCTATTCATTAAATGTATGCAGCCTGCATACTATCAAAACATTTAGCAATATACCAAAAGCTATATTTTTTTCTGAAAATGTAATCTATGCAACCCATTTATAAACAAGTCCCAGTTCCCTCATTGTTTAGAAAAACCTTTAAACTGATCTGTTAAGTCATTTTTATTACATTTATAGATATTTTGCTTAGCATGTGGGCCTTTTTTAAAGAGAGAACACATCATCAGTAGCGTTTTTTTTTTTTTTTTTTTTTTTTTATAAGCTTAGGACCTCATGCTTGTATACATCTATGCTCAAAATGTGCTGAATTTTTTTTCTTCCATAACTTGACAGGACAAATGTCTCTAATGTTGTGTATGTATGTGTGTGTTGAGAATAAATGCATTCTGCTGGCCAAAATATTAATATATTCTGACCAGTAGAATACAATTCTGTGTGTAAATTATGCTCAAAGGCTCCTCTCAGAATGCACTTTTGGTGTTTTTTTTTTTTCTGCCTATAAATGCTCCTCTTCAAATACACCTGTAAACTGCTATGTATACAAAGCCACATAGAGGTGCATTTACAGGCAAAAACAAAATTCTATATTCCTGTATAAGCAGTGTTTTTTAAGGCTCAAGAGCTTGAGCCATTATTGTGTCTCTGAAATGAAAACGTTTTAGAAAGCTGAACAAAACAGTGAGAGAGGTGAGAGGGAATGGGTCACTCCTCTGGCCATTCAGCTGATCGTGTAATCTGGACTTTAGCTATTTAGCTCTGTAAAAACAGCCATTTTTGAGCAAAGTAGTTGAGGTTGGCATGGTAAACATATTAAAGGAGCCAGTAGCACCACCTCCTGGTTGGAAACAGTAAATATGAAAAATCCAACTACAGTATTTCATACTGCCTACTTACTACGAAAAATAGTTTACACATGTTTAGGATTTGTGTTTTATTTATAAAACCCTACATATTCCATTTAAAGGCTGCAGCTTGACGCCTTTTCTTACTGACAGGAAGGAGAGTTTGAGTGGACAGATGGAACAACATATGACTATAATTACTGGGATGGAAATCAGCCAGATGATGCCACAAACAGTAGTCCAGAAGATGAGGACTGTGTACAGATTTGGTACAGATACTACAGCGGTAAGTGTTTATAGCTCTAAGATAGGAAAATGGGAACATAATAGAGAAGCACTCAGGAAAACATTAGGACGGGAGCTAGAACAACTCATGCCATCTAATAGCTTACTAAATAAGAGAAAGGTTCTGCATACCAAGTGGTTGCAGAATTTACAAGGCATAATTTCCTAATCCTGTATGTTTGTAATCATTTTGAATCACAAATATTGATTCTGTATTATAGCTAAAGAGACAAATTGATATACTCCATAGGCAAATATTTTCTTCTGTTTTCTGCTTTACAAACAGGCAGAACAATACAAACACCACCAAATTTCATGGTGCGCACAGCCTATTCACATAGTCCTTATGGTAATATCAATTTCCAGATTAGAGTTTAGTATTTATTGCAGATTTTTAAATCTTTGCTTCAAACAAATAGTTGAATATATCTTCAAAATACATATATGTGAACCATCTTCCCTTTTTTCATCTATCCAGTTTTGTGATCTAAGTCTGTCACCATAAATCCTCTGTATATTCCCAGAAAAAGTGGCAGCCTCAGATTCCTGTAAGTACACAATCTAGGGTCACATTTTACAGAACATTTTCTTGTTTTATTGGGCCCCAACCTGCCTTAGACTGCTGTCAGCCGCAAACAAACTGAGAAGTGACCGTGCTATGAAATAAAACCCAGCAGCCACTCAAAATACTAGTGTAACCTTCTAGTTAAGCTCCTGTAGGGTGAAACGTGTCAGTTTATTTTTTTTTACAATCCGTACTTCACTTCCAGTGATGTCAGTTCCTCCTGGTGGTGCAAATGCCAGCTTACAGTTTTGGAGTAGTGGTGGCCGAGCAGTGCAGTGTTTGCTGGAGACTCTGGGTGCTTGATTGGAGCACCAAAACAACTTTTATGACAGTGTATGAGATTTTGTTTTGGAGGAATAAAGTTTTTAGATTGATTGCACTATGATGGTTCTTTCATTTAACATATGGCCATATTGGAGATGGGAGGGGCATGTGGGAGGCCCGGGATCTGGAGAGTAGAGATAAGCAATAGAGGTCTCTGATTTAACATCATGCTTACTGACCCCATATGGTTTATATGGTGAGTGCTTTGTCTTAAAGGGACATGGTGACACTTGGCATACCTTTAAGAAAATACAACACACGGTCTGCACTGTCAACCACAGGACTTTTGCCTAATAGCAAATTCAGCACTGGATCCAGACATTTCTGTCAAAAGCAGAGCATGAACCTGTTCTCCCTGTGACCTTTCAGCTTCTTCTCTGCAGTACTATCTGGCCTAGTATCTACATCTGAATTTGATAGAACAGTGAAAGAACAGCAGTACACAGATGAGGTCATCTCTGCTCTCCCAGCTCCCAGGGTTAGACTAGCACTGTGCAGTGCCATAGAGCCTGATTGGCTTACAATGCTGCCCTTCCCTCCCCAAGTATAATGCCAAATTCAAACTAATGTAGCATGACAAGTCATGCAAAACTGTTAATGGCACCCAAGATGCGCCAAGGAAAAACTGTGCTCATATTCTATTGTATTACTCCATTCTTTTCTATCCTATTCTTTTTGAAATTCGAATTTCGGAAGATGGCTATTATTTTTTTTAATCTATTCTAACCTATTCTATATTTTTTTCTATTGGATTTTATTCTTTTATATTCTATTGTATTCTTTTCTATTGTAATTCTTTATTTTCTATTCTATTTTACTCTATTCTTTTATTTTCTATTCTGTTCTGTTTTACTTTATTCTATTCTATTCTTTTCGAAATGTGAATTGCGGAAGACAGTTACATTCTAATGTAGTCTAATCTATTCTATTTTTTATTTTCTATTCTTTTTTATAATTTTTTTTTTCTATTCTATTCTTTTCTACTCTAATCTGTTTTATCCTATTCTATTCTTTTGGAAATTCGAATTTTGGAAGACGGCTTTTTTCTAACACTAATACACATAGGTGTCCTTTTATGAAACAGATCAGCGGCAAACCTGAGTATCGTTGCTGCTCTCAGATCATTAGTGGCTTAGGAAACAGAGATGATTAGCAGGGAACATGTTCCCGCTGAACATCTCAGTACACAGACTGCTAGTGTATGAAGGAGTGATGTCAGCCCTTCACTGGCGATCTGTGTTCTCCCTCCAGATTCTCCAGCCCAGAGGTGGAGAATCAGGGTAATCGCAAATGAAGCAGCGGTAATATACCGCTGCTTAGTAAACTGTGTTTGACTGATCTCTTACTGTAATCTCGCTAGATTACAGTAACAGCAGCCGTTTTCTAGAGCTCAAAGCATTTGTAGATCTACACTGCTTCATAAAAAAGGCATTCAGAGGAGAACGGTTTCCTCTGAGAACGCCAGAGAACTGAGCAGCGGTCATTTACCGCTGCATGATAAAAGAACACCATAGTCTTTAAAGGAAATCAGTAATAGACAGCAATATGTTTATATTTAAAATTTTTTTTTTTAATTCAATTCAATTTTTTAATTCGATTTGGATTTTAGATTAAAATTTGTTTTGTTATTTCAGATTCATTTAAAACGTTACTATTGTAATTCGGAAATTTGGATACATTCGAATAAGGAAGATATAGTCCAAATTGTGATTTGGAACAAGCGAACCGCACATGTCTAGGGCCTAAGTGTTGCTATGTAGAAGATTATAGGGAGTTACAATCAAAAGAAATTCATTTATGTTTGTCAGGTGTAAAATTATAATTTAGTGAACCCATGATTAATATTGGCTTTTTATAACTACCTGGAGTACAGCTTTATTGCAATTATAACACATTTTTTGGTGTACTTAGTAAGACAGAGAAAAGCATAAAGGGTAAATCACTGGACAAAAAAAATAGCAACCTACCACAATTCAGATCAATGTGGCTCAGGCAGGAGCAGGCAAATATCAATGAATGTACATTACACATAATTCACTATATTATTTTTTATGGTGATTTTGTTCATTTTATTGAATGTGATATGAATAAAGGAGAATGATGTTGCACAACTCACAATACGATATTTGCGGATTGTGCCAGGAATGAGACCAGAATGAAAAGCCTCAGTGATGGTTTAACTATAAGGGATCTTCAATACAATACAATCTTTTATTGTTACAATAGTTATCCAATGTACAGATCATTTTTTGCTTCTTTAAAATATCTGCTAAGCCTAAAAGGTAAGTTCACTCAGAGAGTACTTACAGTACCAATAGTGGACGTTGTAATAGAATTATGGTCTGCAATATCTTCCTAGCTTCTACTCAAACAGTAAAGATCTCAGAGGAGTGGGGTCACAGGTAAGTAGGAGCTATTACAAAAATGCAGGTGGAGGGGAAGGAAGGGGGCACTTTAAGGGTAAGTGCAGTATGAATATACTTCTACCCTTCAATTTCCCATCTGTTTGGTACACTACAGAAATAAACATCTGCTAACCTCTAAGTATGACCCCCTTGACTTCTGCATTGAAATAGCATTCACATAGCATGTGTTTTTTAATTCAACTGACATGTACCTTAATTTAAAAGATTTGTAGCATTTGTAGCCGTATAAACATACGCATATAATGTTCAGTTATGTTAACATGTAAGTAAAATGATGCTTTGTTTTCTTGTCAGTTAAAGAGGTATTAAACCAGACAAAAAACTAAGGAATATATTGCATCTTACCAATTACATGTGGTGGCTGCATTAGTGGTTTTTTTTTAGGGTTTTTTTGCTTTATTTTCACCTAGTGATCCAGCCAGTATGTCTGTTATTTTCAAACTTCCTTTAATAGATCAAGCTCTACAGCAAAACGGTTAAAGTTTAGACAAATCATTTACTGACAGAAGTGCTAAATAGGACCATGTATGTAGACCAGGAGTTATGACTTTCCTGATCTGCATAGATTTTTCAAGTTAGAAACTAGTGCAGCCACAACTGCAAGACAGCTATCACTTTTCAAGTACAGTGGATATAAAAAAATCTACACACCCCTGTTAAAATGTCAGGTTTCTGTGATGTAAAAAAATTAGACAAAAAGATAAATCATTTCAGAACTTTTTCCACCTTTAATGTAACCGATAAAATGTACAAGTCAGTTGAACAACAAACTGAAATCGTTTAGGCGGAGGGAAGCAAAAATAAAAAACTAAAATAATATGGTTGCATAAGTGTGCACACCCTTAAATGAATACTTTGTTGAAACACTTTTTGATTTTATTACAGCACTCAGTCTTTTTGGGTATGAGTCTACCAGCATGGCACATCTTAACTTGGCAATATTTACCCACTCTTCCTTGCAAAAACACTCCAAACTTGTCAGATTGAGAGGGTATCTCCTGTGCAAAGCCCTCTTCAGATCACCCCACAGATTTTCAATCGGATTCAGGTCTGGGCTCTGGCTGGGCCATTCCAAAACTTTAATCTTCCTCTGGTGAAACCATTCCTTTGTTGATTTGGATGTATGCTTTGGGTCATTGTCATGCTAAAAAATTAAATTCCTCTTCATGTTCAGCTTTTCAGCAGAAGCCTGAAGGTTGTGTGCTAATATTGACTGGTATTTGGAACTGCTCATAAGTCCCGCTACCTTGACTAAGGCCCCAGTTCCAGCTGAAGAAAAACAGGCCCAAAGCATGATGCTGCCACCACCATGCTTCACTGTGGAAATGGTGTTTGTTTGGTGATGTGCAGTGTTGTTTTTGCGCCGAACATATATTTTGGAATTATGGCCAAAAAATTCAACCTTGGTTTCATCAGAACATAACACATTTTCCCACATGGTTTTGGGACACTTCAGATGTGTTTTTGCATAATTTAGCCAGGCTTCGATGTTTTTCTTCATAAGAAAAAGGCTTTCGTACATATGTAGAATACAGGAGATTGTTGTTACATATACCACATAGCCAGTACTTGCCAGACATTCCTGCAGCTCCTTTAATGTGGTTGTAGGCCTCTTGCCAGCCTACCAGACCAGTTTTATTTTTATCAATTTTGTAGGGGCTTCCAGTTCTGGTAATGTCAATGTTGTG